TCTTTTGTTTTCGGTTTTAATTTTGAGTTAGTTTTAGTAATTTTGTTTTTATTATTATTATTATTTTGTATGTCTATGTAGTTTTTATAAAACTTTTTTTTTTTCAGTTTTAGTTATTTTAGTACAACTTAAACTGAAAACATAGATATGTTGCCTTGGCAACTACCTGACATTTTTTAAACATTTTATTTCAGTTCAAATATTTCAAGAGACAAAGGTTTTTTATGGTTTTAGTTTTCATTTTATTTAACTATAATAACCCTGTGAAATACTATGTAGGCTAATGTAGAATTATTAGTTATAAAAAAAGTCTTTTTGAGGAAATGTAGCTTTTTAGGCTAAGAGTTTGGGTAGTAGAAATACTTTTTTTTCCAGTGATCTGGCAGATACTACATAGCCTGATGTAGAATTATTAGTTATTAAATATTGGCTCATGTAGAACAGCGTTTCCCAACCTATTATTAAAATGGACATCATTATAAAAACTATTAATGTTTAACTGTTAGGTAACATACATACCCACAATGCATATAAAACAAACAAATTAGATTTTATTCAGAATGAATGCATAGAATCACAAGATACTGATATTTGATTTATTTTCAGGACTCAATAAATACAACAAAACTTACAAGAGTCATTGACAATGATCAGCGAGTCTAAAGTGCAAGCAGGATGTCTGGCATCCTTGACTAAAAACCTGTTTTCAACAGTATTTTGAAACCACTCTTTCATTATTAAGTTCTTATGATCATTGTACCAGTGAATAATGTGGATCAGTGACTTTCAATAATTAACTTTACCACAAGATCATTCACTGTTTCATAATGCAGCTGTCTTTGTAACGTGACATTTTAATTCATGTCAATCCAGTACCCTAGAGAGAAGATCCCGTTGATGATTTGTACGTACAGATTTAAGTGAGTTTGGACCCATTTACTAAAACGAAAGATTTGAGAGCACACAGAGGCACTTATGGATGGATGTTGAGTAAATATTTCCCATTACAACCTTGTTCAGTGAGAAATATGGGTTTATTTTCCAACAGTAAAAGACTGGAGTCCAGTGATGGCTCTGCCCAAGATCAAAGCATGGATGTCATGAGTGCCTGTGAAAAGGAAGAAAATAATTTTATTAAAATTTGTATGGTTCAAATTAAACAAAGTCTCTACATCGGTGTTCTAACAGAAATTATTATCATTGCATTAGCCCACAACATAAAGCCTATACTGACCTCCGCTGGCCAAAGGTATAGCTTTCATATAAAATGAAAAACATTTTTTCCTTCTCCTTGTACCTTCATATGTGTTGAACCTAACCCTATCGTAAGCAGTTAATTAATATTACTCAGTACTGTAATCAATGTAATGACACTTGTATAATTTTCATATTTTATTGTGATTTTTAAATGTGACTTTTGTGTTAATTTACTAAAAAGCACTAAGCGGTCACTTTGTCTTTATTATTATTATTATTTTTTGTGCTTATTTTGGAGTAAACAATTTGTATGTACTTTATAATAAACGTTTTATTTAAATGAAGTCTTTTTCATGGTAGACAAAAAAAAGAAAAAGAAAAAAGCTTTTAAAGACCAAATGCAAAAATATCATATATATACACTGAATCGGGGTTATTACAGTTAACTAAAACCATAAAACAATTTTTGTCACTTGTAATAAAATAAAATAAAAAATTAACTATTTTATTATTATTATTATTATAACTAACTTAAACAAATATTGTTTTGGCTAGTTGCCAAGACAACATTTCTCATTTTCATATAGTTTATCTTGATGTACCAAAATAACTAAAACTGAAATTAAAAAAAATGAATGAAAACTATCTAGACATATAAAAAACACTAACAAAAAAACTAACAAAATTTACAAAAACACACAACAAAATGACTAAAACAAAAATGAAAAAAAAAAAAAAAAAAAAACTAATTCAAAACAAGCATAAAAACTATAATAGTATCTCAGTGATACCCTGAATATCATCGAAACTTGGAAAAGTATTGAGATACCATTTT